ATTGGATGCAGATTAAAACTTCCCTTCAGGTGTTGACATTACAACGAGAGACTGACAAGGTATTTTTTCTACCTTTTTGCCTTTTCAATTTGTTACTCTAGCACCTAAAAGCATGCCAAATGTATGAGCCTCTTCCACCATCCATGTTTCTGCATAAAGTAAGGGAAGGAAAACTCTTAGGTTATAATATCTATGAGTACAAATAGTTCTAAATTACAGTTGCTGGTGTACTTTTGGATTGCTGATTCATATTCCATGGTATCCATCTGGAAATTGCAAGTCCTGCTGTAAGGCAACCGATTCTGAACACTACTCACTGTGGTGTTTGTGATTAAATGTAGATTGTGGTTAAGCGGCAGAGAACTGCATTTCCCCCTAATTTTGTTCACTCACTTGATGGGTCCCACATGATGATGACAGCTGTCGCCTGCAAAAAGGCAGGATTGAATTTTGCAGGTTGAGCAAATTTTCACATGCTCCTTTTGATTTGCGTGCTCACTTATTTTTGTATGTTTTGTATCTTTGTAATTGTATGAATTGAGAAAACTAACTATTTCATGCCAATGTCTGGTCACAGGAGTCCATGATTCATATTGGACACATGCATGTGATGTTGATGCAATGAACAGGATACTCCGGGAAAAGTTTGTTGAACTCTATGAGGCACCTATATTAGAGAATGTAAAGTATCTCTATTTCTATCTTCTATACATGTTATAGGATTCCAACAGAACTAATTTTATAGGCTTCTCCTTGTTAACTAATGGTAGGCTAAGGCTTGAAGCTAGGCGAGATTATTATTTTTTATCTATCTGCAAAATTGTGGCCTCATGCAATTCGAAAAAAAAGCATCTTTAATCACATTCAGAACCAAAAGCACATCTGAGCATTTGAACTTGTGGTTTCATTCTGTTGTTACATTACTTTTTTTTTTTTTTTGTGGTAAATCATTATGTTGTTACATTGCTTTGGCAACCTTTGCCCTTTTTCCCAACATGAATGCATGTGTGTGCCTGGGGTGGGAGGTGTGGAGATGTGGAGCTGACTTTTCAACTGAAATGTGTTCTTGCTGCGTCAGGATATTACCTGCTGACAACTTTGATGCTTTCTTTGCACTTGCAGTTGTTGGAAAGCTTTCAGAAGTCCTTCCCTACATTAAAGTTTCCGCCCTTACCAGAGCGAGGAGACTTTGATCTTCGAGAGGTTCTGGAATCCCCCTATTTCTTCAACTAGTCCAAGGCCAGATGCTTTTGGCTGTCTGCACCTTAAACTCAACCGTCTTGCCTATCAATCGGCCAGAGCTGGTGGAGTCATACAGTTCTCACGTTTGGGCATGAGATTGTGGAAGGTAAGCAAGTTTCTTTCACCAATATAATGAGTCAGGGAAGAAATGGAGAATTTGAGGAGCGTGCTTGTATATATGTATACCAGGACTTCTTAAACGGTTACTTTGAGATTCTTTTCAAGTTCTTGCCCCACAGTTGAAGTCTGCAGTGTTCAGCATGTATTTCAACTAACAGCTCAAACAGTTTTAAGCAAGCTGTTTAAAACAGAGAAATCAAAGCTTCAGAGTCAAAGCAACAACACTCCTGGTTGATGAGGTGATCCCATCTTACAGAATGATGATAGCTTCAAACTGAAGCTTGCCATAGATGATTATTTTAGATGATATATATATATATATATATATTTTTTTTTTGGGGGGTAATTGTTAGATCGGCAGGTCCACACATTTCCCAAAAGGGCTCATCAGCAAATCCTCTGTGCTGTATATTTGAGTAACATTATTGTATTTGTAACATTCATGCTGATATTGACTATTGTTTCATTCTTGATCCAAGTAAAATAAAATCTATAATTTGCTGCAAATTCTATCATTTCCTTTCCTCTTCCCCTTGTTTTTTCTTACCCTTGTCCATGTAAATTTGGCACAACAATCTCCAATTATCTCTGTTGAGTACACAACATACAGGAACTTCAAAATTAGTTTTCATTTATTTCCAGAGCTAGAGGTTGGAAATATTGGTGATATCTTTACTTATTTATATATCTGCTTTGACTTGTGCATATGTTATTTTGGGGGGAATAATGTTTGTTAGGATCAATTTTTATGGTCAAAATTTAAAACGATTGTATAATGGTCATTGCTCATGACGTGAGTTACATATAGAACCAGATGATCAATAGTTAAAAATATTGTCTTGAGGTTTGGTTTCAAGAGTCATTATTTTTCGGTGTGATATATGAATAACTAAACTATTCAATTGTGATATATGAATAACTAAATTACTCAATTGAGCATGCATTTGGGCCTTCGAGTCCAATGATATTCAGTCACGTTTAAGTGCATCTCTGTTCATCCAACAATAGTTTGAATTCGACTCTTTGTAAAATTATATATATAAAAAAAAAACTACTGTATTGAGTACAATATACTAAAAAAGAATAAAATACAGAAAAAAATTAATTATCATTCACATGTTATGTAAATATATAACTTAAATTTACTTGACAAATGGGAACAAAAAGAACAGAAAATCATGAGAATGCTTTTAGTAATATTTTATTTATTTTAATCA